GGAAATGTGCACAGGAAGAGCTATGTGACGCCCCCCTTGCTGAACTGGCGCCATACGGTAGTTCACTGTGCTTCGCTAAATGTTTGCAGCTTGCTAGTTGTAGTCATGTAGGATTCAATTCCAAGACGCTGGTTTGCAGGATCTGCATGGCATCAAGTAATGTGCCAGCTGGTAAACCAAAGACGTCAGAGAGTGATGAAGACTGGATGTGTCGGAAGAAAGTAACATTAGTAAGTCCAAACATTTGTCACTTTTAAACTTAGACAAACTGGATGTTTTAGATATTATTATCTGAACCCCAAACTGGAGGGCATCTGGCCAACCTGGTAGTAGCCGTGCCTCAAAACCTATGACCGCTGATTAGAACCCCCTGATTATGTTTCCGGGGTTTGTCAGCATCACAGCCATGCTCGTGGGTCTATGTCCTTGGATTGAGTGTTACTTCGGTTTTAGTAAAAGCAATGTTACGATGGTAGACCCCGGAAATAAGCTCTCAACAAGGCCTTCAGGGTTTCCAGTGTTTGTCAGCACCGCAACCCTGCTCGTGGGTTTATGTCCTTGGATTGAGTGTTACTTCGGTTTTAGTAAAAGCAATTTCACGATGGTAGACCCCAGAAATAAGCTTTAGACAAGGCCTCCAGGGTTTCCAGGGTTTGTCAGCATCACAGCCATGCTCGTGGGTCTTTGTCTTTGGATTGAGTGTTACTTCTGTTTTAGTAAAAGCAATGTTACGATGGTAGACCCCATAAATAAGCTTTAGACAAGGCCTCCAGGGTTTCCAGGGTTTCCAGGGTTTGTCAGCACCTCAGCCATGCTCGTAGGTCTATGTCTTTGGATTGAGTGTTACTTCGGTTTTAGTAAAAGCAATGTTACGATGGTAGACCCCGGAAATAAGCTTTAGACAAGGCCTTCAGGGTTTCCAGGGTTTGTCAGATCCACAGCCATGCTCATGGGGTTTTGTCCTTGGATTGAGTTTAATCACGCTCTTCCTACTGGTGGCAACCTCAAGTCATACAACACCCGTGTAGATCCGGGGTAGAATAGGTCTTCAGAACCCATGCTTGCTGTGAAAGGCGACTATGCTTGTTGTAAGAGGCGACTAACGGGATCGGGTGGTCAGGATCGTTGACTTGGTTGATGCATGTCATCAATCACAATTTCGTGGATCGATGCTCATGATATTAATCGCTGGATTGTCTGGTCCAGACTCGATTATTTACAGACAGACAGTTTGTCTTTAGAACCCAAATGAAGCTGTTTCGTCGAATAGTCAAGAAAGTTGGGTTTATTTTAGCGTTGAAGTTTTGTATTAATGTCACAAATGTAGGAGGCGGCCCCTGCTTGGGCTTCTTTCAGCACTGCCCCCACATGTATCTGACACTGGATTTAATATCTATGTTGCTACAAGCGGAGTATGGTTGTTACATCCAATACAATGGTCAATCCAAGTAAATAACAAGTCAGGGTTATCCATTGAAACATATTATTCTTTCATGTCACAGGCTCCTTTTTCCGAGTGTCAGCCAGGAAGCACATGTGTAAAGTCTCGAAGTGGTGAATCAAAGTGTGTCCATTATGGTGAGTGCATAATATGATTTTATCTGCACATAACGGTCGTCTACATATGTTTCGTGCTATTGTTTTACAAAAGTTTTACTTTAACATACCTGAATATTTCCTGACAGGGTACACCATCAGAAGATATATCACAATTAAATATGGTATCGATAATTCGATGTCTTGACTTAAAATGACTTGGTGTGTTTCCGCGTCAGAAATATACAACTCAAAAGAAGTTAAAGAACACCCAATTCTTTCATATTACTATAGTTAATCTCACATGCCAATACAGATTAACTATAGTAATATGAAAGAATCGGGTGTTCTTAAACTTCTATTGAGTAGTAAATAATATTTTAGGAATAATCAATGTATTATACAAGCTTTTGGCGATCATAATTTCATGTTATGTTTTCCTAACATACGGTATTTACTGTGCTGATACAAACGAGGGTAACATTCCCATTATTCCCATTATTCTTGAAATAATCGATGTTTATGATAGTTTATTACTCAATGCAGTTACTTTAGAAACCGCTATCAATAAACGGTTTGTGTGAACCGCCTATTTATCATATTCCGCCATATTATTTGCAGCCATTTTCGGGATTCCTGGTTAAATCATAGTTGCTATGTGGGTTGAAAGAGACATTGGGGTCGTTGTTCCCAAGATCAATCACTGGATTGCCTGATCGTTACTCGATTATTTCTAGGCCGTTGTCATGGAGCGGAACATTGCAGAATGTAGCGATGAACATGAAACCTGCCTCCGTGTTCCTTACCTGTAAGCTGTCTGTATCAAATAGTGAGTGAGTGAGTGAGTTGGGGTTTAACACCACTTTTAACAGTATTCCAGTTATATCACGGCGTGTCAGCTTAATGTGGGGGTAAAGCCCGAAGTGATGCAGGTCTCAGACGTTTACCATTTCGGTGAAACCCACGAGCATGGGTATGGTGCTAACAAACCTAGAAACATCATCGGGGCGTAAGCGGGATTCGAACCCACAATCATAGGTTTCTGGCGTGCCCAAGGGACGGAACTCTGCACAGCGAATCGCGGCGGCTTAGACGACTGGGCGAAACCGCATTATCAGTGGTTCGAGTGTCAAAGGGAGCTAACTCTAAATATAGATTGGAGCTATGCTGTTTAGTTACGTATCCGAGAAAAAACATGGCGCTGTGAAAGCGATAATCTGTTCCGCCTGTCACTCCGTTCATCATTAAAACTGCACAGGGTATTCTATTTAGTGAATCATTCCCATCAATACGAACAACAGTAGTATGACTCACGATGGTTACAAGTTTATGTCAACATTACTGAATTGTGGATCACTTACTAGCTGGTTATAAGAGGGTAACAGATGTGGGCCCACATTTCGGAGGGACTTTCTTACTGAAACACTCAGCATCTTGTGGTGTGGAACAAATATCTGAGACATGAAAGGTAGGCCATTTCATAATCCTAGTCATCTTATTAATTGAGGATAATTGTAGATATCACCAACGAAACTGTATGCGTCATGAATGAAAACCGAAATGTGGGCCCACTTTTTTTTATATCTATAAAGAGATTTTTCTGAGTGGGCCAACATTTTAAAAAATGTGTAAATCAATACAATTCTTACCATTAATTTTTTTTTTTTTGACCGTAGTAATAAAACAGAAAGACAAATGAGCTCACCTTCAAAACAAGGCGATAGAGTGAAAACAGAAATGTGGGCCCACTTTTTTTTTTTATCTCTATAGAGATTCTGATGGGTGGGCCCACATTTTAAAAAATCAGTAAATCCACAAATCTCACCTATTATTAAAACTAATCTATTGACTGTAGTAATGGAACTGTTGTTATGAAAAAGAATGACAAATGATATCACCAACGAAACTGTATGCGTCATGAATGAAAACCGAAATGTGGGCCCACTTTTTTTATATCTATATAGAGATTTTTCTGGGTGGGCCCACATTTTAAAAAATGTGTAAATCAATACCATTCTTACCATTAATTTTTTTTATTTTGACCGTAGTTATAAAACAGAAAGACAAATGAGCTCACCTTCAAAACAAGGCGATAGAGTGGAAACAGAAATGTGGGCCCACTTTTTTTTATATCTATATAGAGATTTTTCTGAGTGGGCCCACATTTTAAAAAATGTGTAAATCAATACAATTCTTACCATTATTTTTTTTTATTTTGACCGTAGTTATAAAACAGAAAGACAAATGAGCTCACCTTCAAAACAAGGCGATAGAGTGAAAACAGAAATGTGGGCCCACTTTTTTTTATATCTATATAGAGATTTTTCTGAGTGGGCCCACATTTTAAAAAATGTGTAAATCAATACAATTCTTACCATTAATTTTTTTTATTTTGACCGTAGTTATGAAACAGAAAGACAAATGAGCTCACCTTCAAAACAAGGCAAAAGAGTGAAAACCGAAATGTGGGCCCACTTTTTTTTTTTATCTCTATAGAGATTTTTCTGAGTGGGCCCACATTCTAAGATCTGAGTAAATCTACTAGTCTTACCTTTCTAAATGAAAGACCATCACAGTAAGTAAACACAAACACATTCTGAAGATTAAAAACTGACATTTTATTACCCGGTAATTCATAACAAAACAAAAGGACTCAACATATCATTTCATCCAAACATGTGACATCAGTAGCAATATAACAATGACATTCAGATCATTTAGTAATTGTCATCACAATAGCAGCTTTTGATGGGAACTCTGTTTCATTTTATCTTTTCAAATATGAACTCACATGTCAGCGTCCTCAATACACATTGATATTTACCTTCCACAAATATTTTAATTATATAGAAACAGTAACAAATTCTATAATGTCACAAACAAAATACCCAGTGTGGGTATTTTAATGGGAACAAAATTCTAATCATGGTAATGAAAATTTATTTATGAAACACTCACCCACACATGTCATTTCTATCACGGTTAGTTTCACCAGAACTATTTAAACAGGAACTATCTGACATATCAGTGGCAATCTGTGCAACACCAGCATATAACATGTCAATCTCGGGAACGTTTAAGAATAACAGTTTAAAAACAAAACAACATACAATGATTCTGCACTCTGTCATGATTATCACAATGATTGAGTTTGATATTGATGGAAACAATATCATATTTCACACTGAATACTGGAAACACAATTTAGGCAACTTGAATCATCTGCACAGATGATGAATAGAAATCTTTGTAGCACTATCTGTCAAACTATTGACATACATGTGTCCTTCATGATACATGTATGTTTGAATTGTCAAGAACATCACAAACATTGTAAAGGGTAACAGTGTCACAATAACTGATGCTATGTTCATATGAACTTGATGGAAACATTTCTATATTTCCAAGCACAATGGGCAAATTGATAAATGAGATAATCAGTAGATCACATTCTCATCAAGAGATCAGAATTGATCAAATTGGTTCATTCAAATATTCATACAAATTTGTAGTATTTGTTCATAAGGCCAAGCATGAGGGTAAACATACATTCATTCTTGTTGTTCCATCGGAACATAATCTCATCAAGATGAGCAGCTAACTGTTCTCTTGGGACACCATGCATTGACTTAAACTTTGCCTTTGCATTGCCCCAAAATCCTTCAATGGAGTTGGTATGGGCCCCAGTTTTGGGGTTCACATAACCATCCTTGTGTTTTACAGTGTCATGGGCATACCCTGCCTTTTGTAGACAAATATAGGATTTGAATTCATCAGTAATTATTTGTGTACCGACTTCAACATGGGCAATGATTATTGGCAATAGGGTGTCTGTTGTTCTGTCATGAACATTAAAAAGCAGAACCTTCTTACTTTGCCTATCTATAAGGCCAAAGATCCAAAAGTTTCTAATGCCCTGACTGGAACCCATGTTGTATTTTCTCTTCCTCCCCCATTTACTTTCATCCATTTCTACCACATGACCAACACCCCCAAGGACAACAGGATCGTCCAGAAGAGAACGGGACATTAAATCACGGTATAAATTGTACCAGCTGTACACAGTGTTCTCACACACGCTCAACATTTTTACAGTGATGTGACCGGGAACGTCATTGCAAAAAAGGTACAAAATCATTAACAGTGTGCCAAGTGAAGCTTTCTGGCCTTCCCAGAAACTTCCAAATCTAACAGATTTACATTTTCTACATTTAGTACAACGCCACACATGGCCATCTGATTTGTTCTTTTTATCTTTCTGCCATGACATAGACATATTACATTTATCACAGTTCATTGTTGAAGCTATCAGATTGTTTTCTTTCATAAAATCACAGGTCTTTTCAAAGTTATTACATATCGCACCAATCTGAATTAAATCACATTCCATGATGTATCAATAAATAGAATGTCCAGTGAAATGCTTGAATGCTTCCATGGCTATCCAACAACTGTATGGCTTGGAGTAAATGCCAGTACACAAAAGTGATTCTACCCACCAGAACAATCTTCCAACAAATGTAAGTCCATCCAATCTTCTGACAAATAGAATCTTGAATCCTTCATGGGAAATAATTGCAAATTGGTACATCATGTAGCTGTTCCCAAAGATACGTTAAACTGAGTCATCATGAAAAGTTACATGTTGTAAAGACTGTTGTGTCGATATATAGTTCAAATTTGAAGCAAGATTTTCCACAATATTGGTGTGGGTAAATATGGCAATATGAGTAATGTAAGATTGCTTTCTTTTGGACCACCAAAACAACAACTGTTTTATTCTCCCTTCCTTGGCAGGCAAACCCTGAGCAACGTGACTCAGTTCATTCAAATGACCTGAAACAAACATGATTATGAATAACACACACAAAAACAAGCGCCAAGTTCATGATACTTTTCCCGAAATCCACTCAGATATTTGGTTAAAAGTGTCCGGATAGTGAATTCAATTGTGTTCTTAGGTGGGTATCTAAATGTCTGATGGATGTAGAATTTCAAATTCAGTCTGTTCATATAAAAAAACAGCATTCAAAGTATTTCTTTTATATCTCCTTTTGTTGAAGGTCTTCTTTTGCCTTAGTTGGTACTTGTAATAGCACAGAACATCCAAATCATGCTCAGGAAAGAGTGGTTTAAATCCATGTGAATATAAGTGTTCATTTACCTCATCTTCCTGATAATCTTCAATTGGGGCACAGTTTTCTTGAGATGTGAATCCACAAAAACTACAGAATCTCTCCTTACTCTTGAAGATAGGGTAACTCCTCTTTAGCCAGAACTCAGAATTACAAACACGAAGACTCTTGACACACGTTAAATTAACGCAACATTCTCGAATTTCTTCCATGTCCCATAATTAGGGCGTGATGATATTCCCAGAGAACTCTCCGTAGTAAAAAATCGGCAGACGTAGTAAAGCGATTAGCATATGACCCCTATCTATGACGTCAAAGGTCAAAATCTCAACCAATGGCGTCATAGATAGCGTGGGAACTGTTCCACAAAAGGAATACCCTCATGAATATTAATGAGCCTACGTCCTAGTTTCGCGGGGCAAGTGTTCGTGTCGTTTGCTATTGTTTTACTTTATTGATACTATTTCATGCATTTTGAGTGAATAAGTGACTCTTAGATTGAGTTTTTAAGTAATCAATTTGGTAGATATATTTAATTTAAAGTCTACTGAGTTCCTTAGTTTCGAATGTGGGCCCACTTTGCCCGTCCGATGGAGTGAGATAGAGTGACCTCCCTTGAACCACTGATAATGCGGTTTCGCCGACGACTGGGCCTACCGTGCCCCCCTCTGTAATAAAAAAATTACCTAACACTGATGATTAATGTTAAAATGATAAAACTAGATGTGTACTCCGCAATATTGTTTTAAATCGGTACTCGAATTTTCTTTGCAGACCTACAAGAACACTTACAGGGGAAAGGTAGAATGTCGACGCAACAAGGAAATGCTAAATTATTGAAGATGTCAAAACAAGGTAATTTGTTTCACTTTTTCGAGAGCAGATGGTTTTCGAGAGCATAAAACAAGAGTGAAAATACTCTGGTGACTAAGGACATTTAAGTGTTGAATGCTGCAAACTCAAAAGATAATAAAGTCCTTAGGTAATTAGGATGCAGCTGTCCCTCTGAGAAAGAATTTGGAAGCAATGCTAGGTACAAAGTTAACGTCCAAAAAGACTCAGACACTGCCAACACGGAACTGTCATTTTTTTGTCTGTACATTCGCATTGGAGAGAAAAAGAATGAAAATTAATGAAAATTGATTAATTGGTGGACACTAAGAAATTATCCAAAATACGTTCGATGTTTTGAAGAATAAAATTTGCTCAACCTTTTATAAATGTTAATGATTAATCACATGGCCTTGCTCCCCCGATGCACATAATACCCTCAGCTTCATTTAGGATACTATCGATCTTTAACTGTAGTAGTTGTATTTCTGGCTGTGGGACATGCCTTACTCTTATATCTCTGTGATCCGCCCTGCGATGTGCTGCTAGATTTGCTACAAGGGCGTTGTGGGATATGTAACAAGTCAGTTGCATTTATAAACGCGCCAAGAAGTCTCTAGAAACCTTGTTACCAAGTTCATTGATATTAATGAAAGATAATTTATTCTTCAGTAACAAGGTATCGAAATGTACCCAAATTATGTTCCAATTTCAATTCCATCGGGTAATGCATGACACACATTTGGCAAACTGTATGGACTCGGATCATTATTATTAGTAAGAACATTTCAGACTCTTACCTCGGCATGTATGTGAACACCTTATCCCTTCCCCACACTTCTAAAATGTATGAAAGCAAAACCTGTAGCTGTGTGTTTTAACTTAATATCTTCTGAAGGAAATGTATGCTTTTTTTTCATTTCGATTTTATAAGAAGGACCTAAATGATAAATGTCTTTGAGGTTTACCACTTCGTTGAATCCAACGAATGCAGGTATGGTGCTGATAAACCTAGAAATAGAATCATAGGGGATCTGGGATGATTCGAACCAACGATCATAAGGTTTCTAGCATACTAAACAGAAACAATTAAGCGTAGCAAATTACAGTAACTTATGCGACTTTGCAAATTTTCCGTTTTCCTTGAGAAACATGTAGCGTTAATAATTTGGTTCCCTCTGCGGGGGACCCGAGAAGATCCGGGGTAGAATAGGTCTTCAGCAACCCATGCTTGCCGTAAAAGGCGACTATGCTTGTCGTGAGAGGCAACTGACGGGATCGGGTGGTCAGGCTCGCTGACTTGGTTGATACATGTCATCGATCCCAATTGCGTAGATCGATGCTCATGATATTAATCACTGGATTGTCTGGTCCAGACTCAGGTTATTTTCAGACCGCCGTCATAAAGCTGGAACATTGCTGAGTGCGGCGTAAAACAACCAACCAACCAAACCTCTGCAGGGCGTTCGTAATGTAAAAAAACAGAGAACCAACAGAACGGTAGGATGATGTTGATGCGAAACATACAATATTGGTCCGGATCGCGCAAACGTAGCCTCACAAAGAAAAACGACGTCCGATGATATGTCATTCTGTATTCTGCTTTCCCTGGGATACACTAAACTGACCGTACGATTCCTACTATATCATAAGCATGCGTTTGTGAATCAAATAGTGATCATAACAGGTGTTCGCAATAAGGTGAGTCTATCCTGCCCAACCGGTGAACCCGTCACAAACACATGCAAAGACAAGTCGATTGTTCACCTGAAAAAAAACCACGGCAACATATGGTACAGTCAAATTAGGGAATTGCATTGGACATCATTTTTGTCACTCATGCGTCAAATTTTAAATGACTTCCACATGTCAACCCAAAAAACTGTTTGAAAGCTTACTGAGGCCTTGAATCTTGCAACCTTTATTGTAATCTTTCTTATATTAGCGACTCATTGAAAAAGTGGAATTCACAAAATTAAATGTTAAAAGTAGTACTTCTATAGCTGAACTTAAAACAAAAATGTTTCAAAATGTAATTATATCTTAATATTATTTCAGTTATGGAAAGCGTGAAATTAATATTATTCACAGTAGACGTAGATATAGATGTAGTAATCTGAATAATGATTTATTCAGGTTAATTTGTAGGTATTATGAACAAAGGGGCTCAGCACCAAATTAGAAACCGTTCTAAGTGGTAACAATACTATTTTCGACGAATAAAATAATTTAATTTTCAAATATGTGTGCATGTATGAACATGTGTGTAATACTTGTGCCTAATCCATTTGATTTATTCGCAATAAAATATGTTTAATTCAAATCAAACTATAACTGGCAGCAAGTGCCGAGCCTATAACCTTCACTTAATACTAGCGTGAGAATGACCGTAGGTATATTCTTCAATAAATGAGTCTGTTTATACTTATTACGGACCAGTTTTTAAATTTAAGCATTACAGACGATCCTTGCACCTCCCTCTAAAGCGGTATATAGTGTAAGTATCAGTTTTATTTCTCTGAAAAAACACCAACGGTGGTACAAGAGTATATATATATATATATATATATATATATATATATATATATATATACACACACACACACACACACAACGTATAATATTCAATTCAGATCAAGATGGTAACATGCCTTTATAATTTATTTAGACACTTTAACGTAATAATGTGTTCAAATGTACAATTATTCTGGACAGCTGTTTCAAAAAGGATATAGTTTAGGTGATAACGTCTTGCGCAGTTTACACATAGTTGGCCAGGTATAACAATTCTTTGGAATATAAAGAAGTCGTTGTTGGAGAAGGGCTTTACACCCAAAAAGATTGTGAAACTCGTCTCCAACAGCCGATGAATTTCAGTGTACAGACACGGTCTTCTCTCAGTAACCCCCGCCATCGACCGTTTTCAAATGGGCAATTGATGATTCGATGTAAGTAATTGTGAAATTGGCAAGTAGATAGTGTTGGGAAGTAAAAGAAAAGTTCAGAATTTTGATAATTCCTCAGACCAGTTACTATTTTTTTTAAATTTCAATTGCATGCTCTCATTTTCAAAACTCCATATATCGGAAGAGTAAACAAGGATTGGCACTACCATCACGGCAAACGCCTTCAATAAACAATCTTATGGTAGGTAATCATTTCGTGCTCTTTTCATTAGGCAGTACATTCCTTTTGTCGCGTTTGCTGTCAGTGATTTCATAAAAAACACAAATTTTCTATTTCCGTGAAGATTTATCCATAAATATGTATAATTATCAACAATTTCCAGTGTCTTTCCTTCAAACTAAAATATTGATTTGTTTGATTTGGCTGGGCCCCCCTCAAAAGATTTTTTTGTTTGTTTTTCAGATATTTTACATTTAGCTTCCATTTTAAGCAATCTCGATTAGGGAATCTCATGATT